CTGTGCCACGGAGATTCTTTTCCTGCAAGGTATGCAGTTTAAATATAAATATAATGCCAACAACTATCATGACCCTTATATTAATAATGACAGTCACACTGTTTCAAATGTTAAGGAAACTTTTTTTTTCCAAAAGGGTTTGAGATAGGAATTGGGATTTCAGTTATACTCAGAGACAAATGACATAGTTCAACTTGTCAGCTTCTGTACTTCTCCATAGCTAAATACACAGTTGGGTCAGTTTTATTGCTGTATAGCCTTGGCTTGACATGAGTAATTGGACAGGTGTGAGGCCTCATTTCTTGGGAGACAGAATTAGAGAGAAAAGGAGGACTTGTGGCACCTTAGAGACTAACAAATTATTTGAGCATAAGCTTTCGTGAGCTACAGCTCACTTCATCAGAGGTAAATGGATCAGCTGTCTGGAAACAGATAAGGGGGAACATCCAGGGAACAATTTACAATGGATAAGATAACCATGGACAAGATAAACCTGGGACACAAGATGAGGTAAAGCGTAAATTGGAATTGGTTCTACAAAGTGACCAAACCAATCCCACCCAAAATGAGTGATGTAATGTATAGGGAATGCTGTGTGATGTATACATGTATATAAAGGAAGGGAGTTTCTGTGTAACTTTGGGTGTATAGTATTCCCTGTACCCATGCCCTATGCTTGAACCTGATCAGCTGAAGCATAGTTTGATTGTATGCTAATTAAAAAAAACACCTCAGTGACCAGTTCAGCATTGAGCTAAGTTCTTGGGAAGCAAGTAGATAAAGTCTTGGAGGCTACTGGGTGGATAAGGTCTCAGAGGGTACCCCCAGTATACTGTAGCTTTTTTCCTAAAATCTAACTAGCTGCTGGAAAGATACTATTAGGGTATCAGGATAGAACTGCATAAAGAATCTCCAGAGTGATTAGACCAGGATTTAACCACTACTAGCTGACACAATGCTTAACAAAACTTGTCCTTGTCTACACAGACTAGTCAGTCTATATCCATAACTGGATCTACTGGCAGCCCATTGGACCTGCACAGATTTAACTGAAGGATCAAGACCTATCTGACTAACTGTAGAGGGGAAACAGTGAAAATGGTTTATACAGTGTGCATGTCTAATGCATGCAATAAACAAACAAAAAGCAGAGAAAAAATTCTAATTTTTTCCAATAATGTGAATCTTAGGTGTTACTTGAAATACATAGCAGGTGAAATATTTCCAGACAGAAATATGAGTTATTGTTTTACATTGACAGTGTTTTTTTAAGGGTGACTTGAAAATGATTTTCAAAGAGATGGATTTCAGCCCAGCCAATTTAAGTTGATTTATATTGCATAAGTGATGCAAAGTGACCTTGATAGACAAAGAGCATCCAACCATAACTTTGGACATTTAAAATCAGAGTTTGATTGCATTGACGTATTTGTACCAGGATCTTTTGAAATCAGAGCAGGAGAACTGGAAAGTAACTTCAGCAAGATATATGGATACAGCAGAAAGAATCAAGAAGAAATTAGAAGTAATGTACAACAAGTATACATTTGGCATGAGCAGCCCAGTGGTGAGTGGCAAAAATTTTTTTTAAATGCATCATAGTTTAGTACAAGTAAGAGTCAGTTAAGTTGTTCCTACTATGAAATGCCTTTACACTACATGTTTTTGGTTAAGTTGTTATATGTTCATAGTCCTGATTTTTAAATATTTTGATAGTTATAAAGTATGAATAAAATAGTCCTGAATATGCTTGCAGTATGTTTGATCTAACTGACTACTTTTACGTGAACAGCAGTCTTAATGCCACCACAGTCAATAGATGCAATAATAAACTAATAGGATAAAGTTAAACTGGCCTTTTGGGAAACAATGTGGATTATATGATACAAGAGAAGAGTTAAATGCTTTCACCCATTATTAAGTTGGGGGGGGGGGGAAATGGTATCTGAATTGTGGAGTTTTGATTCCATGCAGTGATAGGATGACATAAACTACAAGACCTTTGTTCTCTTAGGCTCCAGTTCTAGAGACACTTAACTTCAATACCAGGAGTAGTCTCATTGATGTCAATTGATCTACTTGCGATAGTTAAAGTTAAGCACATGCATATGTGTTTGCAGGATTGGGCCCTTAGGCCTTGAGCCTTAAACTCAATTCTGAGTTTTTTAATGTTAAGTAGTGAATAGTCCCATTGAACCCAAGTTGTTAGCATACTTTTTCCTATTTGTATATTACTTATTAGTAAACGTTGTTATAGCTTTTATTTACTTCAGTGAGTCTATTCCGGTGCTTAATGGTACATAAGTGTTTGCAGGCACAAGGATTAAGGCAAATAACATGTGCTTGGGTAATGAGTAATTCTGTTAAGTCATCTGTTCATAGGATAATGCTTTTTGCTTGTGTAGTTACCAGAGAAATGTCTTTCTTACAGCAGTGGTCTCCAACCTTTTTACGCACAAGATGGCTTTTTGAATTTAAGATCAATGCAGGATCTACCCCGCCCCTTCCCCGAGGCTGTGCCCCACCCACTCCATTCCCCCCTCCCTCCATCGCTTGCTCTCCCCCCTCACTCACTCTCACTGGGCTGGGGCAGCGGGTTGGGGTGCAGGAGGGGGTGCAGGCTCTGGGCTGGGGCCAAGGGGTTCGGAGTGTGTGTGGGGGGGTGCAGGCTGAGCATGGGGCAGGGGGTTGGGGTACAGGCTCTGGGAGGGAGTTTGAGTGCAGTTGTCATGGTCACACTGCACCTAATCTCAGAATCCACTGGACATTTCATGAGTTTTACTTTTTATTAGTGTCATTTATGGTTCATAGATCAAAAATCCTTCAGGGATTGTCACAAATCAGTGCAACATTCTCAGCTCTGGGGTGTGCATTGGCTGAGCCTGGGGCAAGGGGTTGAAGAGCAGGAGTGACAGGTGCAAGCTTTGGGAGGGAGTTTGGGTGCAGGAGGAGGCAGGGTCTTGGGGTGTGGGAGGAGGTGCGGGGGCTGGGAGGGAGCTTTCGGCTGGGGGTTGAGGTGCAGGAGGGGGTACAAGATGCAGGCTCCAGCTAGGAGGCGCTTACCACAGGTGGCTCCATGTCGGCAACGCAGTGGGACTCAGGCAGGCTGCTTACCTGCTGTGGCCCCAAACCGCTCCTGGAAGTGGATGGCTGCTGGCACGTCTCTGCGTGCAGCCCCTGGGAGGGAGGGGGGCAGTGGGTCTCCATGCACTGCCTGCGCCTGCAAGCGCCGAACCCATGGGGACGGTGCCGGGGGTGGAGGCAGCACGCAGAGCTACCTCACACACACTCACCACCCTTCCCCCAGGGGCTGCAGAGATGTGCCAGCCGCTTCTGGGAGCAGTGTGGGGCCACAGCAGGTAAGCAGCCTGCCTGAGCCCCTGCACCGCAAGACTTTTAGCGGCCAGGAGATCGTGATCGACTGGCCGATGCTCCAGGATTGACCAGTTGATCGCAATCAACAGGTTGGTGAGCACTGTGTTACAGTATATTGACTTAAAAAAAGAAAATCTTTGTGTGTATGACTTCCTTTCATTCCTCTGAATATGGCTAACAAAATCCTTAAGTGTATCAAGCACATCTTTTATATGTTGTTGTCTTATTTATATATAAAATATTATGCATATATTGCTGAATTAGATTTTATTTATACATAAAACCATAGGCCTATTCATGTACTATATAACCTCAGCAGAAAACAGATGAAGTGAGCTGTAGCTCACGAAAGCTTATGCTCAAATAAATTGGTTAGTCGCTAAGGTGCCACAAGTACTTTTTTTTTTTTTTTTTTTTTTTTTTTGCAAATACAGACTAACACGGCTGTTACTCTGAAAGAAAACAGATTGTTTGTAGTGACTTTTAGGAAATATTTTGACTTCTAAGGTCCGACCATGATATAATTCTGCCTATATTGGCAACATGTCTGTTTTGTGCTTAACAGATTAGGTTTGGGGATTCTGTTTACTTTGAAGAAAATGGCTGCATATTTCGTTCAAAAGCAGGTGTTGGTAAGATATTTCTTGGACATTATAATTGCTCAGATCTTTCCGTATGCATTGACACTTTAGGATACTTTACTTAGCTTCAAGCTTAATCATCCCTGTTACTTAATTTTTAAAAAAAAAACTTAAAACAAAAATAACTCAAAATTGTGTGTTACATAATAAAATGTTTAAGCAATACATTTTATAAAAGTAGTAAAAGCTTCAGATTCCAGAATCTAGAAAGAAGAATGGCACAGGAACTGGGGATTAATGTCATATGATTACACATATTAAAAAGTCTCAAACTTTATAAGGTCATCTAGTCTGACATCCTGCACAACGCAGGCCGCAGAACTTCAACCACCCCTTCCTGTAATAGACCCATAACTTCTGGCTGAGTTACTGAAGTCCTCAAACCATGATTTAAAAATTTCAGGTTACAGAGAATCTACCATTCACTCTAGTTTAAACTAGCAAGTGTCCTGTGCCCCATGCTGCAGAGGAAGGGGAAAAGGGTCTCTGCCAATCTGACCTGGGGGGAAATTCCTTCCCAACCCCAAATATGGCTAGCGTTGCCAACTTTCTAATTACAGAAAACTGAACACCCCTACCCCACCTCTTCTCAGAGGCTCTGCCCATGCCCGTCCCTTCTCTGAGGCCCTGCCCCCCACTCACTCCATCCCCCCTCTCTCCGTTGCTTGATCTTCCCCACCCTCACTCACTTTCACCGGCTGGGGCAGGAGGTTGGGGGGGGAATGGGGAGCTGAGGGCTTCAGCTGGGGGTGAGGCCAGGGATGAGGAGTTTGGGGTGCAGGAGGGGGCTCTGGGATGGCCAGGAGGTTGGGGTCCAGGGGGGATGAGGGCTGGGGATGAGGGGTTTGGGGTGCAGGAGGGGGCTTTGGGCTAGGCAAGGGAGTTGGGGTGTGACAGGGGTTGAGAGCTTGGGATGGGGCAGGGGATGTGAGGGTGTTATACCAATAAAATAAAAACCAGCAGGATCTTATTAAAGGGAAAAAGGCAAAATACCACATTTATTGTGAATACAGAAAGAATCATAGCAAGCAGTTAGTTATAGCTATAGCATTCCATTCAATCTCATATTTATTCACACATTCATTCATACAAACACACACACAGGTTCTGCAAGGTTGTTATCATAGTTACCAGCCTTAGAGTTGCTCATGCCAAGCCACTGGGCAGGTGGCCTGGACATGAGGAGGGAGCAGGGGCTTGTCAGATGCTCATCTGATGCTCCTGGAAGTTGGTTTGCAGAATCAGACCCCAAAGTTCTCACTTTTTAGAGTCCTATTTTTATAGGAATTTCTTCCTATTCCAGTCTATGGGAATTGCTTCATCATGCTGTTGCTGAATCAATCAGCAGATAGCACATTCCTGACGGCTCCGTGCTGCTAGATGTTACCTTGTTCTTTGGTTCTCCCATTCTTGAGGCTGTTGGGTGGATTCCAGTCTGCCCTGCGGGGGTCCTCTGGTTATTTCCACTTGACGCCTTCTTCGGCCGATGGACACTGGATTCTTAGCACCTCCCTGATCATTCAGTTATTATCCACACCAAGCATCCATCCACATACATCCTCTATCTCTACTTTAATCACAATTGTTAATACAACAAAAGGGCGGGGTGTCTCTGGATGCTGTTTCTGTTAGAGTATTGCTTTGAGAACAGACTCTGTCTTAGAATGTACTAACACAATTAGCAGCTTGCAAGTTTCACACATAGAGGGAGAGAAACAGTACCAAAAACCAAGAGACCTCTTAATTAGTAATACTCTGGAATTTAAACTATGGGGAATCAAATTCATTTGTGATTTTAATACAGAACTTCTTTAATATGATCCAACAAGGGGTTTGGGGAGTATGAGGAGACTCCGGGGTGGGGTTGCAGGGTCCTGGTGGTGCTTACTGCAGCTCCAAGGAAGCGACCACCAGGTCCCTGCAGCCTCTAGTCGCACAGGCAGACAGGAAGGTTCCATGTGCTGCCTTCGTGCCCACAGGCGCCATCCCCCGCAGATACCATTGGTCGTGGTTCCTGGCCAGTGGGAACTGCGTAACCAGCACTCGGGGAGGGGGCAGCGTGTGGAGCCTCCCTAGTTGCTCATGCACCTAGGAGCCGCAGGGACCTGGCGGCACTTCTGGGAGCCATGCAGAGCTGGTAGGGAGCCTGCCTTAGCCCCAGGCCCCCGCTAAACTGCCAAGTGGACTTTTAAGGCCCGGTCGCCAGTGCTGACCGGAGCCACCAGGGTCCCTTTTCAACCTGGCATTCCGGTCAAAAACCAAACGCCTAGCAGCCCTAAAATATGGCTGTTGGTTGAACCCTAAGCACATCAGCAAGACTTACCAGCCAGACACCTGGGAAAGAATTTTCTGTAGTAACTCAGAGCCCTTCCCATCTAGTGTTCCATCAATGGCTCTTGGGCATATTTGCTACTAGCAGTCGCAGATCAGCTGTATACCATTGTAGGCAGTCTCATCATACTATCCCCTTCATAAACTTATCAAGCTCAGTCTTTAAGCCAGTTAGGTTTTTTGCCCCCACTGTTCCCCTTGGAAGGCTGTACCAGAACTTCACTCCTCTGATTGTTGGAAACATTTGCCTAACTCAGCAGTCCCCAAACTTTTGAGGTTGCAGCCCCCCTTACCCCATCCATGCCCCCTGCCAGGGCCGGGAGCGGGGACATGGATGTGGACAGGGGTAAGGGGGTCAAGGCTGGGGCTGCAGCTGGGGGCTGAGACTGGGAGTGGAGCCCCAGCCGGGCTGTGGTGGGGGCTGGCAGCCAGACCCGTGGCCAGGTGCAGCTCCACTCCTCCCCAAGCCTTGGGACTGGGGCCGCACTGAGGCTGGGGGTGGGGCCAGGGTGGGGCCAGGCGCAGGGCCAGGGATGGGACTGGAGCAGGGCTGGGTGGCACTCCCTCTCCACATCCCATATGGATTGGCCCAGGCCCTGCTGCACCCCTCCCAGACGTTCCTCCATGCCCTCCGGGCGTACCCCACAGTTTGGGGACCTCTGGTCTAACTTCAAACCTAAACTTGTTGATGGCCAGTTTATATCCATTTGTTCTTATGTCAACATTGGCACTTAACTTAAATAACTCCTCTCCCTCCCTGGTATTTATCAACTTACATTAGTAGCAAAAGCTATATTGAGACTTCCATGATAAATTCTTGTTTTCACGTGGTCATAAATTTCTGGATTTTTTTTTTTTCAGTCAGCACTTTGGGTTTATACAAAACAGACCACTTCGCTGAGGAAAAAAATTAAGCAAAATTAATTCACCCATTTTTTTAATTCCAAAAGGGTGAAAAATATTTCTCCTCTCATTGCACACAAATACCTCAAAAATTTGAACTTTAAAGTTAAACCTTCCTTCAGAAGTATGGTCTCCATTTCAGGCAAATTTACAAATCAAAAAATATTTTTAAAAATAGCAACAACAAAATCTTTTTCACACATGCCATTAAACTCAGTTATGATACTGTTTATTCTCATATGTTAAGACACCTGAACTATTCCATGCTAATAAATTCCACTTTTGGATATCATTAGCAGAATATAAACTTTTATGATTCATTGTGCTGATTCTTGGATAATATTGTCTGTATTCTTTTGTGTACTAGATGAAGGAAGTGTTGAGACGTTACTCAGTACTGAAGATCTTGGTTTTCATGATGCGATTATTCAGCGCATCAGAATTTCCCCAGATCAGAGGTATATGGCTACCAGCATAAAAAGCTCAAATTCTGAAGAGTCAAGCTGTATTGTTACGAAACTTGAGAAGTTACCAATGGTGGAATATATTATCCCAAATGTGTTTAGTTTTGGTAAGTACAGTAACTCCTCACTTAACGTTGTAGTTATGTTCCTAAAAAATGCAACTTTAAGCGAAACGATGTTAAGTGAATCCAATTTCCCCATAAGAATTAATGTAAATAGGGTGGGGTTTGGTTCCAGGGAAATTTTTTTTGCCAGACAAAAGTCTATAAATATATACACACACACACACACACACAGAGTATAAGTTTTAAACAAACAATTTAATACTTACACAGCGATGATGATGATTGTGAACCTTGGTTGAGGTGGTAAAGTCAGAGGGTGGGATATTTCCCAGGGAATGCCTTACTGCTAAATGATGAACTAGCAATTGGCTGAGCCCTCAAGGGTCAACTCGTTGTTAATGTAGCCTCACACTCTACAAGGCAGCACGAATGGAGGGAGGGGAGACAGCCACACACCCTGTGTGTGTGTGAGAGAGAGAGATGCGCATTTCCCTTTTAAATAGGCTGACACCACTCTTAAGTACACTACCTTGTTAAGTTAATCAGCAAGCTGAGACCACAGCAGCTGCTGCCAGGAAGTTCCCTGAGCCCTGTCCTGTGTCCCCCCTGCTCTGTAAGCGGGGAGCAGGGGGGAGGGGGACACCCTGACATTAGCCTCCCTGTCCTCCCCCGCCCCCCACCCCCAGCAAGCAGGAGGCTCTGGAGAGCAGCTCCAAGGCAGTGGAGGGAGGGACAGCTGAACTGCTGGCAATTGATAGCCTGCTGGGCCGCTGCTGCACAGGGAACTTAGGGGAGCGGGGGGCTGCTGGTCCACCCTGGTTCCAAGCCCTCACCAGCTAGTTGCAAGGGGATGCTCTTCCTGCAAGCAGTGGACAAAGCAGGCGGCTGCCAAAGGATGGCCTTATAAGGGAGCATTGCACAACTCTAATCGAGCATGTTCCCTAATTGATCAGCAATGAAACAATATTAACCAGGATGACTTTAAGTGAGGAGTTACTGTGGTCTGTAAATGTAATGTGGAATACACAAAACGGCAAGATAAAATGCTCCATATATTGCAACTTAGAATCAGTAATAATATTTTAAACAAAATAAAGGACTGCTGTGTTGAAATTGATATCCACTATAAAGAACTGTTGCTGTAGCGGTGTTGGTCCCAGGAGAGAGACAAGGTAGGTAAGGTGATATCTTTTACCTATCTTGTCATATCAAGACACACACATTTTAAAACTGCAGAAGGGTTCTCAATTGATTACAAAGATTTACTGGCTCGAAAGTTTGTCTTTTATACTACACAATTGTCCTTTTTGCAATTCAAACAAAAGCAGCTCATTTAGTTCAATGGGCATTCCTTTGTTACACAAGGTTCCTAATCGTGCCACCATTTATGCACATGATTAACTTCATGTATGTGAATGTGCCTGTTGAGTTCAGTAGGCTTGTGAATGTGTGTAAAGTTATTCACATACATAAACATTTGCAGGATCAGGGCCTTCATGCCTGATTTAGCAAGCACTTGCAGCTCCAACTGAAGTCAGTGGTGCGGGTGATCAGCACCTCTGAAAATTAGGACCCAAGTGCCAAATACATTTTAAAATGTTGAACAACTGCAGTTCCAGTTGATTTCAGGATATGGGGCCCAATTGAAAGCCCCCAAAGTCAATTAGGAGTCCTTCTGTTGACTTCAATAGGCTTTGATTGGGACCCCGGGGCCTTTAATTTAACTTAGGAAACTTTACTACCTCTCAGTTTTGCTGGTAAAATATACAACACAATACTGAAATGGAAGTGGAGAACCTTCTTTGCCTTTACAGCATATTAGAGCAATACAGTAAAGAGAGTATACTGCTTTGTTATACCATATGTATGTCCATACTGATTATTTTTATTATTATTGTTGTTGTTGTTGGCCAGTATGGAGACCGGTTTTAGATGCGTTATCCTGTATTCAGTGATCTTTTGGCTAAGCCTATGAACTGCAAAACTCTGGGCAAAATTTCCTAATTTACTGATCAGAATAAAGCAGATTGACCATTCAGTAGGTGTTCATACATAGGCTGTTCTAGTGCCTTGAACTGTCCACTGGCATGTTTTCCCTCATTGTGACTAGAATCTGAGGTGATCTGCCCAGACGATTCAATCTATAAAAGGAAAAGCAAAATAGGCTTGATTCTTCAGTGTCTTCCACCTTGTGTGACCATGTATACTTGTGCAAAACATTACTTAATCAGAATGGCAGCTATTCACACCCACCTTGCAGAGGTGTAAATGACTTCATGAGGTTCTATGCAGTACAGAATTGGACCTGACATGCCTATGCAAAGTGTTTTCTCCTAGTGCATAATGTGTAATAAGTCAGAAGGGAAATGCTTGATAATGGACAGCTGTGGGATGTTTCACTGCTGACCCACAGAAGCCTGGATTTCCTCTTTAGGCCAAATCAGAACTATTAACGTCATGGCCAGAAAACAATAAGTTTTAATTGAGGAAAAAAGAAATACAACTTTTAGCTTAATTAAACTCAGATTAGATTCCCAAGATCAAACTTTTTCACAAATCTCCTCTGAAACTTGCTTTGGGATGGGCAAAATATTTCCTTTTATTTACTCCTTCAATAACACAAAATACTGTGGTGTAGTTCACTTGCATTTGTCTTTTTTTCAGAATGGGCTACAAATGATGTTCTGTTCTACACCAGTCAGAAGAACCTTGTATGCCATAAGGTGTTTCTGGCCACTTTCGCTAATAGAAAACATGCTGAGATAGTTTATACAGAACAAGATCCAAGGTAATATCTCTCATCAAACATATTAAACTATCCCTTATATATTCTTGTATGTGTTGAATTATAATTCATAATAATTTTCATAAAATATATAAACACATAATTGTTCAGAAAATCTAGAAAATGTTTTCTTCCACGCTATGTATTAAATCATGTAAAATCTGTTTTTTCTGTTACTGATTATCAGGTGTGCTTGGAGATAATGTACTATGTCCGATTTGTGATCAGCTTAAATTTAACTGTCCTCGGTTACCTGTTTAGTGGTTCATAAATGTCAAGGTCAGTTTCAGGTCAAGATGTTCTTTGGTGAAAACCAGGTAGCATTTTTTTCTACAGTTAGTGTGGGTTACATTTGTTAAAAAAGAATGTTTGGGCTAAGCCTTGGTGCTATGGGTAGTCTACGAGTGAAGCCGTTGTGTGATCAAACTATTGTCGACTGCATACCTTTCAGTAACCTTTCTGGAAGCAGTGGTTTAGGAAGAAAAGCAGATTCTTGCTAAATTGACTGCAGAACTAGTTTTCCAGCCCTACAGCACGATCTTGTCTCTCTGAGGATCCTAGCTTTATACAGTACATTGTAAATATGTTGATAGTTTTGTCTTACTGAATTACATTCTCAGTAAAGAAATAATTTTTTAACGGGAGCATGGCTGATGCTGTACAACTGCGATGAAATAACTGAGATCCTTTTTCCAACTGCGCTTTATACATCCAATTGTATAAAACTATAAAGCAGGTGGCAGAATCAAGCGGAACAAGTTGCACTGACCAGACGCTTCCCCACGGGTAAATTGTTGACACAGTTCTGAGGGTCACAGTCATTACTGTAAATCAAACAGCAAGCTGAGTGTAAAGGTTCATGTTCTAGCACAGTGCATAGCTGAACCACTTGCTTTGTGGGCAAAAGAAGTTAAAGAATTCTCCGGTGTTACTGTTCTACGTCAGGAAGATGTAGATGAACAGGTGAGCTCTTGAGATTTGCAGCATTCGGCTTCTTAGAAATCTTAAGATTGATTGATTAATAATATAATTTAAAAAAATAAAACTAGGGCCTTACACTTTTGTGAAAGGAATGGAACACTTTACGGCCTGACCTCCATGGAATCCTGGCTGATTGAGTGCAGTGCTCCACTCTGGTAGGCAATGGGTAACCAGGGGGCTTATTCTCTGCAAAGTCTAGAAGCTCTAACACCACCACAAAGGAGGAAAGGGAATGAACCAGAGCAGGACCGTGGGGAACTAGGGGAGAGGCAAACAAGTAACGGTAGTTAACTCTGGAACATTCACAGACGGTGTGGGGAAGACAACTACCAGCACAGTCAAATTAAAGCCCTGAAAATGCTCTTTAAAGATTTTGTTAATTCCTATCTGTAGATTTTAAGGCCAGAGAAAGGACCATAATGATTATCTAGTCTGACTGCCTGCATAACACAGGTCATAGATCCTCACCCAGTAACTTCTGCATCAAGACCATATCTTCTGCTTGAGCTATAATATGTCGTCTTAGAAAGACATGCAGTCAATGTAGAGCTTTGAAGTGATGGAAGAATGCATCACATCCCTTGGAAAGTTGTTCCAGTGGTTAATTATTCTTACTGTTAACAATTTGCAGTTTACTTCTAGTTTGAATCTATCTGGTTTCAGCTTCCAACCATTGGCTCTCATTAGGCTTTTAGCTGCTAGAATAAAGAGCCATCTGCTATCAGAAATCTTTTTCCTATGTAGGTATCTGTAGAGAGTTATCAATTCACCTCTTAATCTTCTCTTGGATAAACTAAATACACTGAGCTTTTTATGTCTTTCACTATAAGGTGTGTTTTCTAGACTTCAAGTTGTTATAACTCTTTTCTGTACTCTTTCCAATTTTTCAACCCCCTCTTTTGAAGCGGGCCCAGTATTCCAGTAATAGAATCACTAATACCAGGTAATACCACCTCCCTACTCCTGCTTCCTCTGGTTATGCATCAAAAGATCACATTAGCCCCTTAGATACAGTATCACACTGAGAACTCAGTTGGTTTTCTGTGATCTGGTAGCGGCTGATAGGACACTGTCTAAGGTTTTGGTATCATGCCTATTACCAGAGTCTCAAAGCATCATTGATACTGACATCCACTAGAGTGAAATGACTCTAAAACTCATTTTACATTTTTACAAACCTCTGCAGTTAAGAAGAATGCAGCACACGCAAGTGAAGAAGAGGCAGTACAGCTCAGAATGTCTCACGTACAATGCCTTTTCTCTTTTCCCATATTTACCAATGTCAATCCCAAAGTGGATCCAACTAAGGTTATCCTAATATTCAAACCAAAATGCCAGTCTCCCCTCCCATTCCAATCACTGCCCCAGTCAGACTGAACCCACTGAAAATATTAAGTACCTCCACAGCATCGCACCATCTCAAAGGCCAGATGTTATTACTTCTAAAGTAGTTTTGTAGGTCACAAACTTGGGGGGGCGGGGAGGGGGTGATTATTAGTCCCTCTGTGTCTTGAGTTCTGCTTCCAAGATTTTTCTTTCTACTTGTTCCCCAGGAAATTTATTTTTTCTTGTTTCTGCCACACCAGATTTCATTTAGATCATTCTTTTTTAGAAAGAAGAAAAGGAGTACTTGTGGCACCTTAGAGACTAACCAATTTATTTGAGCATAAGCTTTCGTGAGCTACAGCTCACTTCATCGGATGCATACTGTGGTCTTTTTCATATTCTCCTCATATTCTTTTTAAAGAAAAGAAAATTGTCATTTCCTTCCTCAGTGGTTTTAAGCATCTCAGCCAAAGTTGGATTGTGTCTCATACTAGTGTAACAATGCTGCCTTTGGTGGGACGCTTTTGAGAGTATCAGTTCAGGACAAATGGCTTAGAGCAGGGCAGTTACAGCCCAAGGCTGGGGTTCCTTTGCACATCAAGGCAAACCAAACCAGCCAAACAGAAAAGACTTTGATTATACAAGCAATTCCCTTAGACACTCCAGTTTCCCAGTATCACTACCAGTGCCACTCATTATGGGGACGAATTGTTATGGAAACCAATACCCCAGTAAAAGAGAGAGGTTCTCCTGATCCCAAAGGACCAAGCCCAGACCCAGGTCAATATACAAGTCCAATCTTACCCACAAATTACACTGTTGCCAATCATTTAGAATCTAAAATCTAAAGGCTTATTCGTAAAAGGAAAAAATATAGATGAGAGCTAGAATTGGTTAAATGGAATCAATTACATACAGTAATGGCAAAGTTCTTGGTTCAGGCTTGTAGCAGTGATAGAGTAAACTGCAGGTTCAAATCAAATCTCTGGAGTACATCCACAGTTGGGATGGGTCATTCAGTCCTTTGTTCAGAGCTTCAGTTTGTAGAAAAAGTCCCTCCAGAGGTCAGAAGCAGGATTGAAGACAAAATGGAGGAGTTTTCAGGGCCTTTTATATCCTCTGCCCGTGAAAGGACACCCCTTTGTCTTACTGTGGAATTCACAGCAGCAAGATGGAGTTTGGAGTCACATGGGCAAGTCACATGTCCATGCATGACTCAGTTCTTTACAGGCCGACGCCATTGTTTACATGTTAGTTTGAATGTTCCCAGGAAAGTTCAGGTATGGATTGGCGTCTCCCAAAGTTCATTGTCAGTTAAGTGTTTCTTGACTGGGCACTTACTGAGAATAGACGTTTCTCAAGAAGCTAACCAAATGCTTCACTGAGGCTACTTAGAATCAAAACACATTGAGATACAAGTACATAGCCAATATTCATAACTTCAACTACAAAATGATACACACGTACAGATAGCATAATCATAACCAACAAATCATAACCTTTTTGTAGACACCTCACATGACAACCTTTGTACAATATTTGCTGCAAATATATAACAGTGGTTGCAGTTTGTCAACAACTAGCCAGTGTTTACTTTTGATTCACTGTCTTTCTCTGAAGCAGCTGCCATTACCTTTTGTCTCTCACTACTCCCTATAACAAAGTTAAGTTTTTCCTGTTTTCTAGATGATGATTTCGAACGCTTTACTAAGCCATTCATTTGGGCAGAAGAGTTTGCAAGTTTGATGTTCTTTCATAATATGTTTTTTGCATCTTTTGAGCCTATTTAGTGGTTATTCCTCGATGAGCTGCCAGTTCGCCTAAAACATCAAGAAAATCTGTTCTTGTCCAACTGATTTCAAAACTTGCCTCTCATCACTGTTGCTTTGGAGGATTCCAGCTTTTTATAACTGTGCATTTTTCTGAATCTCAGGAAGGAGACAACACATCTACCACTAGAATCCAGGAGTGCTGAACTTCCCATTCCTTGGCCTAACCACTAGATATGCTTCCTCTTGACTTAGATAGAATTACTTGATTCTGACAGAACTGAGGATTTTTTGAAATAAGAACTCCATGAGTTGAACTTCCTTTTCTCTTTTTAATGCAGATTTTTTGTGGATATATATTGCACAAAAGACAGACGTTTTCTCACCATCAACAGTAACAGCAAGACTAGTTCCGAAGTTTGGTTGGTTGACTGTAACGATCCATTTAATTCACCTATTCTCGTACAACAGAGAACCAAAGGGGTCATTTATCATGTTGAGCACAGAAATGATGAATTATACGTTCTTACTACTTACGGAGAACCTGCGGAATACAAGGTAATCTTCTGACAAACGAGTGAAGTATTGTATTGGTTCAGATGCCTGCTACAAATCACATGGAAGTATGACTTTAATTTATCTGTAAAGGGTGAGAAATTTGATTTTATTTGTGTTTGACAGCTTACTAGAGGATTTAAAAAAAAAAACTAGACATGTAGGGGACTGCATGACTCTAAGGACTAACAACCGTATATGGGAGTATTTCACCTTTAGGAATGCTAGTTTGACTCTAGCCCATCTGGTAATGGCTGAAAATTATTACTCTGGTTGTTTAGCCTATATTAAAACATGTTGTTGGTTTCAGTGCAATTTCTAGCTGGCTAGCTTGTCTACTGGAAAAATACCACCCACAGGTTAGTGATGAAGCACATTGGCTGAGCAGTGTGAGGAAATTTGTACTGCCATTGTCCATGCTGTTAGATATAAAAAAAATAATTTTAGTCTGCAGGGCATCAGTCTATCACACTGCATCAGCACTAACCTTACTTCTACAAATGTACATTTCTACAATATGCATTAGAAATTTGTAACTACCCAATTCGATTCCCAGTCTTTAGTGCATACATTGTCCTCTTGGACACCACTTCATCTTTTTATTGACTTTCCTGCTGAGATGTTTAGAATCTCATAGAAAATACTGCAAGGTTTATTTAAAAAAAAACACTGCTGCTCAGTTTCTTGATTTATAGGTTTTAGTACATAAACAGGAAGTCTTGTCCCTTGTTGGAATAGACATCTAACTTGATGCCAACATTCTGCCTGGCTGGTTTATACCACTCTTCATTATATACACTCAAGTCAGAGAAACTGAATAAGCATGTGCAGTATTCACACAACTGGCTTAAATCTATTTTGAAGGTACTTCACCTTCCTCTAAAGAATCAGTTACTAGCCATTACTGAAAGCAGAGATGGCTAGATACCAGTGTTTATACAGTTGCCTTGGTGGCCCAAGCAGTTAGCCAATTTTCATGACTTTGTTGGGTTGTTTTGCCTACTAGGAGAAATTGATTATACAAATCAGATTTTTTTTTATTCAATCCTGTTTACAAAGAATGTATATAGAGTCCCTAAATGCAGTAGAAACAAATAACAGGCAATGTCTTAGCTTGCCATTTTTTACAGTCTTTCCAGTGAGTTCTGTGGCCCAACAAGCTGTCTCTTTGCTCCCCCTTAGGGCCACACTCACTGCTGTTTCCCTGCCCCTCCCCCACCTCCCCCCCCCACACACAAGCACGCGCACACAGATTCATGCAGCTGCAACCAATCAATCCTCTAACTCCCCCTGAGTTGTACCCTCAGTTCCAGGGAAATCCCTCAGCTCGCACATCTTACCTGCTTGGACAGTGGCTTCCTATTGTCTCAAGTTATAATCGCTATATTAAAGGGCAGTTAATTGCTCCTTCCATTCCCATTTAGCCTGAAGAGAAGGATGGTTAGCATGCCCATCAACTTTAACCAGGTCTGTGATTGATGGCAGACATTAACACCTTCCAGTATGACAATTCCCAAGTGCGTATGCATTATTTTTGTAACTCCTGTCCTTTCATTCATGTATGTTTTTTTTCATTTTGTAGTTGATGAAGACTCCAGTTGGTTCCTATGGTATGGAGAACTGGCAATTGGTTTACACGTTGCAAGAAAAGACTAAGCTAATAGACTTAGAGATGTTCAGAGATCACTGTGTGATGTTTGTGAAACGCTATGGTCATCTTTATTTAAATGTGATTTCTCTTGTTTCTCATTCTGTTCAGTCTATTAAGGTATATTTTAGATTTTATTTTTAAAATAATTGGTTTATTACGTGAAGACATTCGCATTTGGCTTTTAATATAAAAATAGAAATTAATATTAATGTTCGCAACAGACAAGCTGTGAATACCAGAAGAGTGACATACCATTGTCTGTACTTTCCAGTGTATGTTACTGTCCTCTGTGATCTCATATTACAGTCAGACCTGTTACTATAAGGCCAGTTTCTGATCCCCTTACTCAGGTTAAGTAGTAGTCTCATTGACTTCAGTGGGCCAACCAGTGGTGTGAGGTACTATGCAGTGAGAATTAGGGTATCATAATCTGGCCCACTGAGATAGCCGAAGTCAGATTATATTGAAAGAGTATTCAGAAAACCAATGTGTAATGCTGACACACCCTAATAGTAAGTAATTTAGAAGAATTATGTTTATTGCAATATGCTTGATAAAAATAAATATTTCCTCCTTTTCCTAGTTGTTAGATGCCAAATTTTCATTGACTCTGATTTTTTTCCTTTTAATTTCTATCTCATCAAAATACTTTAATTTCTGCAGACAAACAATTCAACCACAGGCTTTAAAATTGCCTCTTTGTATTTATTCAAAAATACAAATCTGAAGAATTCTTAGCCTTATTGCAATAAATTACTCCGCAAACCTCCTTCCTAATGGTGTTCCTGTAGGTAAATATAGTACACTTTCAGCACAGTCACTGAGACTGTTGCTTTCTTAAATTATCTTGTTCAGTTGAATCAATTGTTCAGAGAAGGGACTGCAATTTCTCTGTAAAACTTTGACTTTTAGTGGCACAATTTTTGAAGCCTCTATCAACCTGCTAACCAGAATTACTTAAAGTAAGTTGTGGTCTTGCAGGGTGCTTGACACAGGACCCTGCTGCTCTCAAAGAATGAATCTTGATTCCTTTCATTTTTAGTAGAGTTAAAGATCTTAAACATAATAGAAGTGAGTTTCTGAGTGTAGATGTGCCAAGAAAAGGTTTTGTTCTTCACAGTGGCTAGCACGGGAACAAAGTTAGAGGCAGGGGTTTTAAGTGGTTGAGCACTACTGAGTCAACTTAAGGCACTGGAGTAATAAGTGACATTGACTTGGCTGTATTACAAGTTGAACAAGAAGTGATATATCACAGGGGAAATGAGATAAGGAAAATTGTTAAAAAATACAGTAGCATACAAGGTAATTCCTAAAGAGAGAATATCTTAATTATATATTTTTTTAAATCTTGCTAATACAGTATTCCCATTTTTAAATGGTCCATTGAATATGGCTGTATTTATTTTGTCCTCTCTATGAAAAACTTTGGAATTAGGTTTTATATTCCATTTTAAATCATTGTTGAACCTCATTAGATGGCTTTAGAAAAAGATTAGCTAAATTCTTACACTTGCTGACGCTGTTTCAATAAACATTTTAATGTATAAGACATGGAGCTTGTGTTAAATGCAAACTGAGGTAATTAAGCATTATGTCCAACTCTTTTCATTGGAGAGGAGAAAATGGACATAATTATAAAAGCAGTAAAAGGTTTCACTTCACATTTTTGGGATTATTAACAATCTTCATTTTCTCAGTTACCTGCATGGGCCTGTGCATTTGAGTCAGAACCCCATCCTGAGTACAATGCCAGCACTTGCTATTTTCAGCTCACCTCCCCAGTACAACCCCCTAAACGTTTTGTATATACGTTGGCGGAAAATCATCTCGTTGAGCAGGAGGCACCAATTACAATTAATTGCCACACTGTACGGTTAGAAGCTAAGAGCAAGGTAAGATTTTTCAGCTGTTTCCCCTCCTCACTACCTTCCCCACACACCCTACCTCCTCTGTAGAAACTTTTCTGGAAGGGAATAGGGAATAAATACCATAAAGAACTACTGGTGCCATATTTACTAGAATAGCAGGTGTTTTCTCCAGCGCTATAGTAAAAAGATCAGGAAAAGGCAGTGTTAATGTTTTTTCTAGATTTGGTGTACCTTGGAGCTGGTATGCTATAGTTAAGAGGCTGTAGCTGAACATGACATGATACAATTGTATTAGTGTTATGTCTTTATGACAAACAAAAAAATGCCAAAATGATATACAGCATACATCAGTCAAGAAGGGGGAAAAGTTAACCTTCTGAGTTTAAAAAAGTTGAGATGTTAAGTTAATAACAAGTTTGTTGCTACAGTAAGTGCTAAACTATTAGTTCATAATACATATTGATGGTGTTACAAGGGGATGGAAGAGCTGGGTACTTTGATACTTTAAAAACACCTCAGGTGTTGCACTTTTTGTACTCTGCGTCAGTAAACCAGCCCAGCAGAGGTTCAGTCTCTCGCTTTATTTTTCAAGAGTCCTTTGTACAATCTAAGTGGGGGAAAAATTACTGTAATCAAAAAAACACATTTAAAATAAATAATTGACGTTTTCATTGCCATGTGTCATTGTGAACTCTGAAACATCCTTTAATGTAAAATACTCCTTCATTTCTAGGATGAAATTTTGGTGCCAATTACAGTTTTTTATAATACAAATTCTAAAGAGCTACACAGGAAACCACTTCTGGTTCATGTATATGGAGCTTATGGCATAGATTTGAACATGAGCTTTAAAGCTGAGAATCTGATGCTAATTGAAGATGGTTGGATATTAGCATATTGCCATGTTAGGTAAGTTATAGGTATATAATGTAATAAAGATTTTTATTTGTAGGGCAGATGGTCAATATTCTTAAGACTCATCTGGATAGCTAGGAAGAGCCTTTTAATTTTGCTGTCTTGTACTGTAGCCATTCCTATAGTGTCACGTTTCCATCTCTCCATAAAATTATAGGTATCCTTTTTGGTAATTAAGTGATTCTATTACAACTCAAATGCCTTAAAGCAAATAAGGTTAAATTCACAAGATCCATGCACAGTGCTTGAGTGTCTCTACTTATCTACAGGATGGTTGTATTTGATTTTTCAGTTTAGCCCTGACAGTATCTGGCTTCTCTAATACACACGTCATTTTCTGTAAAGTCATATCTTGTCCTTGCTCAAAAACATAATTTCTGCTATTATGTTCATGGTGTAAGGATTTAGCATCACCCTCTTATTCCCAGGCCAGTGGCGTACATTCATGTTTGATCTATATCTGTTGAAAAGCATTTGCCTTTTTAAAACAGTATTCAAGCATATAACCTATTTCTTGTCTCTCTTTTGGCTAACTCTTCTCTGCTTTCTGTTCAGCTACAATCCTATTGCTGTCATTTTTTCCAGCTTTCATTTGGTTCTAAAAAATTCATTCATCTGATCAAAGATACAGGAAAACTCCATTATTTCTCAGTTATGTTCTTTAACAGGGAAAATGCAATGAAATATTATTTGTAGCTCATGAGGCTAGTTCAACTATAAAATCAGCTTCTAAGTCCAGTTACATTTATATTCTGATATTGCTCAATGGAAAACCATGTTCTTTTTCTGTTAACATCTTATGACTTAGCCCGGTCCTACTTGTTTTACAATGATAACATTACAGATGAAGAATTCTGGCAATTTATTCAGTTGAGATTTTGTTCTAAATTAAAGGATGCTGTAAGATAATTTAGATCAAAATTACTGGTTTGTGAAAAATATCTGAGACATTTCATACGATTAACAAAATAATATATATATTAATGAAGTATTATTTTAAAAAAAAAGAATTAAACTCTCCCTTGAAGTGTTTGCAGCCACACATTGTAGCACTGTGCAAATGTATCTGAACCAGAAAGTGAAACTGATTTGCCTAGTGTCCTAACTCAAACTGAATGAAAGGCAACACCTCAATGAATGTAATGGGTGAAAAATAAACTGATTTAATTTTCATTGTTTAATCAATTAGTAACACACAGATGGAAAAATGTAATTTTTCCCTGACAGTTTCCTTTTATTATTTATAAGTGTGTGTGTGTGTGTATATATATATATATAATTTTAAAGTGATATTATCTACTTTGGTAATTTAAAATACTGATCTACTGTGACAACAACCCAGGCAGACCTTCCCTCATAGTCCTTCTGTGATGACCTTATGAAATAGTCACACTAAGCAGATTGGTGCATGTGCAGTTCTAGACACAGTGCACTCATACTAGGTTGGGGGTTTTTTCCTCAGACATTTTACTGTGAAGAAGTGAGTAGGTGTTTGTATGTAGCTAGACAGAAAGGAAGAGAGGGTTAGTTATGGATAATAAAACATGATTTTGTATTACCACAGATGATGATGATGATGTCTTAATATTTGAAACATAAGCTCTGTGACATTTGTGACTTGAATTGTTTTAAATTTCAGGGGTGGCGGAGAGTTAGGCCTGAGCTGGCATAAAGATGGATGTATGCATAATAAACTCAAAGGTCTCCACGACCTTAAGGCTTGTATAATGCTCTTGCATGAACTAGGATTTTCTCAGCCAAAGTATACAGCACTAACAGGTAGCAGTGCAGGAGGAGTTCTTGCAGGAGCTCTGTGCAATGCTGATCCTTACCTCATCAGAGCCATAGTTTTACAGGTGAGATGACTGATTTCTAATGGAATAGGAGGTTAAACCATGCTGTTTGTTTTATCTTCTCTAATTTCAGAATTGGTCAGCAATTTCTTACTCAGTGTAAGATTGTTCAAGGATGGGGGTAATGTTGCCATCTCATTATACAAGGGAGCAGACAGGCATTCTTTACCCTGAAGAGGTAGGACTATGGAAGGCTATAGAAAAGAGTTGTCATAGTGAAGGTGAGAGGAGATGGAAGTATGGCTAAGGATTTCAGCAGAAGTAGAATCAAGAGGTGCTTATACATACACAACCTCTGTACACAACATAGAATAAATAATTATTTGGAAAAACTTTTTCTGATGCTCACTGCTAACCTGAAGAACAAGCTTACATGATTATAAGAGGATTAAAGGAGTCTTTCCATTGACTTCATTGGGCTTTGGGTAGGGCCGTAAATTTGTGCCTTCACAGACATTTAGTGGATTCTAACAGAGTAGACTGGACTGTACGTGAAGGTCCAGTGTCCTCTTTTGTTAACTGTATCTTAAATTTGTGAAACCATCTTCTTGTTTTGTTTTTTAGGCCCCTTTCCTAGATGTTCTAAATACAATGTTGGACACTGATCTCCCTCTGACAATTGAAGAACAGGAAGAATGGGGAAATCCATTAGCAGATGAAAAGTACATGGAATGCATTAAAAGTTACTGCCCTTATCATAATATTAAGCCACAGGTACTAAGGAGTAATTAAACCATTCTGCTTTTTCTTAATACAGTGTATAGTACCACACAGAACAAACAAACTGTCAAGGTTCCTCCCCCACTCTGAACTCTAGGCTAACCAGCATGCTGGGGACCTGCATGAAAAACCTCCTAAGCTTATCTTTACCAGCTTAGGTCAAAACTTCCCCAAGGTACAAAATATTACACCCGTTATCCTTGGAATGGCCGCTACCACCACCAAACTAATACTGGTTACTGGGGAAGAGCTGTTTGGACGTGTCTTTCCCCCCAAAATACTTCCCAAAACCTTGCACCCCACTTCCTGGACAAGGTTTGGTAAAAAGCCTCACCAATTTGCCTAGGTGACTACAGACCCAGACCCTTGGATCTTAAGAACAATGAACAATCCTCCCAACACTTGCACCCCCCCTTTCCTGGGAAATGTTGGATAAAAAGCCTCACCAATTTGCATAGGTGACCACAGACCCAAACCCTTGGATCTGAGAACAATGAAAAAGCATTCAGTTTTTACAAGAAGACTTTTAATAAAAAATAGAAGTAAATAGAAATAAAGAAATCCCCCCTGTAAAATCAGGATGGTAGATATCTTACAGGGTAATTAGATTCAAAAACATAGAGAACCCCTCTAGGCAAAACCTTAAGTTACAAAAAAGATGCACAGACAGAAATAGTTATTCTATTCAGCACAATTCTTTTCTCAGCCATTTAAAGAAATCATAATCTAACACATACCTAGCTAGATTACTTACTAAAAGTTCTAAGACTCCATTCCTGTTCTGTCCCTGGCAAGAGCAGCACACAGACAGACACAGACCCTTTGTTTCTCTCCCTCCTCCCAGCTTTTGAAAGTATCTTGTCTCCTCATTGGTCATTTTGGTCAGGTGCCAGCGAGGTTACCTTTAGCTTCTTAACCCTTTACAGGTGAGAGGAGCTTTCCCCTGGCCAGGAGGGATTTCAAAGGGGTTTACCCTTCCCTTTATATTTATGACACAAACAAAAGCATTTAATCATGAAAATGCAGAGTTGGATTTTCTAAGGATGCATTCTTTAGGGCCTTAGGACCATAGAGCTGATAAAAAAAAGCTCTGAGCTTGTGAACTATGTGTTCTTAAAAGATACATCCTGATTGAATATGAAGAAGCCGTCTTTGGCTAATTATTTCAGGAATAATCTATATTGCTTTGTAGTGTACAAAATCATAAATGGCTGCTGAAATTGATTGAACCTCCCCTTAGACAATCAATCTCAAAAGTTATTTGTTGCTGGCATACTATAAAGTATTAGATTATTCCTATTATACAACAAACCACAACATGAAAAATATTGTTTCTTCCCTTGTGAGGATTTTTAAATAGTTTTGCTGCCAGACTAGGGAATTGTCACTGTGGGAAGACGAGTAATGTCACTAGACATATGGTGCAAGTAAGTGTTTCAGTGTCATCTCTGAATGGCTAATTCATTTTCTCTGAACTGTGGCTGGTTACAAATGCTGTATAACTTCCCTAATGATAGTCTTCTGTGTATGTGAACTCTTACTCATCTAATTTGATGCAAAGTTACTAATTTGACTCTTTTTATCTGCAAATTAAGACAACAGCAAGAAATAAATTTAATTGTAACTAAATTTGCTTATTAGTAAGCTGATAAATGATTAGAGCTCCTTTTGCATCACTCCTGCATGGGTGAGGCAGTCCTCAGGAACTGTGGAGCTGCTCCAGTGACTCTCAGCAGAGGGACTGTGTTAGGAGGGGTCAGGCGTGGTCAGAGTATTCTGCTCTTCGGTTATCACTTCATGGCAGATGGTCCCTTGAGGGCAAATCTGGCAGTTTTCAGACCAAACCAATTTTCAAGTTAAAATTATAGGGATGCTAATGTAGGGCTTTATAAAAAGAAGCTGGCTACAATGCTAAATATAGAAGATAGATATCTTTTCTCCATCATTATCAAAAGTAATAAGCCTTCAAGTACTGTAATAGTATAGGGATTCAATGTGGAACTCTTCAGGTTGTTCACATTTTAGGAAGTGAAAATGTTAATAACTTTTCCCCCCATCTCTGTTTTAGGCTTATCCTTCAGTTTTAATCACAGCATATGAAAATGATCAACGAATACCACTGATAGGATTGTTAAGATATGTTCATAAACTTAGAAAAGCAGAAAGGGATCATGCTAGAAGCATGAATAAGAAAGGTAATGTGGAAGTGTCTTTTATATACATTGTTATATAAGCACACACAAAAGTCACATAACTAATTATCCATCAATCACATGAAATGTAAAAGTGGAAGGGACCTCAATAGGTCATCTAGTTCAGTCCACTGCACTGAGGCAGCTCCTAGACCATCCCTAACAGGTGTTTGTCTAATGTGTTCTTAAAAACATCTAATGACAGGTATTCCATAACCTCCCTAGAAAATTTGTTCCACTGTGCATGTGTGTACTATATAAAGCACAATATCTAAAGGTTGGAAGCAATTGAGGGTACCTATAACCTTGAGAAATTAGTCTACCCATATTTATTGTATGGGTTAAGCTGCCTACTTGTAATGATATGGGTAGGGCTAAAGCTTTTAATACTCAATCTCCAGATTCTTAAAAGGCACTCACCCATTTGGGATCCAAAGTTTGCCTTAAAATAGTCAAGCTAATGGGTGCTAAACAATGATTTTTTAAAAAAGTAAATTAATAATCCACTTAATCTATCATTTCATTGCTGTGAATTTTAAAGCCCTTTTTTTCAGAGCCTGCACAAACGTACTATTTCCCTGTTCATTCTGAAGTTGTAGACATGCTATTCCCGGAGATATAATGACATGACTGTTAAAGCACGGAAGTTATATATTGTTGATAGAAGTTATCACCAGCCAAGAACTTTCTTTCGGTAACAGATGCTAAAATTAAGATTTAACACAACAGAATCCAACTAATCTGCACTAATGAGGGGAAGAGGCCCTCTTTCACAGGTTTAGCTCTTAAATTAGCTGTTCCCATCCGCTGGGAGCCTAGTTGCAGGGAACAAGTAAAGATGGCAGCTGCTCCTGCCTTGCTCATGAAGAGAAAATCAGTCCTTCTGAAAAGAATGGAGATAATTGGGTATGTATACTATCCTTCCTGAAATGTGTAATCAGGAGGAACTATTTAATGCAAATAGTTCATCCACCAACCCATCACTTGTGGTTTAATGTCTCACAACTTGGATTTTCAATTTTCTTGCTTGTAGAACTACACAAAGATCTTGTCCAGGGTAGTGGTAATATCATCCCTCTCCTCATAACATATACAGCTCCACCTTTCCTTGTTCATTCAACAGTGACTGACATTACATGTTTTTGTTTCAGGAAACCTGATACCTAATATCATCTTAAATGTTCAGGCAGGAGGCAGTCATTGTGCTCCATTGTGGGAGGATTCATTAAATGAGGTATGATTCCTCTATTGTACACTTTTATAGTCAGTATACACTTCATTATAGATTTGTTTTTGTCCTAACACTATGATGTCATCATTTTGTGTAGTATTTAATACACACTGGCACTAACAAATGAGAACCACTGGTTGAGTTGGATGGGCCTGGGAGTTAGAATTCTCAGCTGCTGTTCCTGGCTGGCTGTGTGTATGACCATAGACGGTCACTTAACCTCATTGTGCCTCAGTTTAGCCATCTTTTAAATGGGGTACTTAACTACAGTACTGCTCACCAGTGTTCTGAGCTTTAATTGTTTGTAAAGTGCTTTGATACCTTTGGAAGAACAACTCTAAATAGTGCCAAGTATTGGTACAAAAGCGAAAGCTTTACACCATGCAATTGTAAAGCCTTAAAATGTCCTGATTTAAACTGCCTTTCATTTGCTCTCATCAGCCTTCTTGGTTGAGAAAATTACCAAAGAGTTTCTGCAGCTTTAAATTTTGCAAGTTTGGTTTATACTGTGGCGGCAATTTGTCTTTTAGAAATTCCAGATTTTAAGTGGATTTTTTTTTTTTTTTTAACTCCTAAGCTTTCTGCAAATAGCATTATGGTTTAAGCAACATCAGCTCAAAGCACCTGGTGACACCTCCTTCACGGTTACTGCTGTCCCCTGCCCAATAACATTTTCTTACTGGGAAGCTTTACAGATCCCAGTGGCTGCTTTTTTTCTAAAGAAAACTGAGCAGGAAAATCTGTTTAAATCTCAGATTGCTGCAGGGCAGCATTTAGTGGCACCAGTGGCTATCAGAGTGAATAATGTAAGAAGGGGCCAGAAAAAGGGTGGGAAGAGTTTGACAGAAATTCAAAGTTTTTTTTTTTAGAATAAGTAGTCTGATTTTTTTAACTAAATTTTCATTGTTTTAGGTTACAAGCCACCTTGCTTTTCTATACAAAGAATTTGGACTTGAGAGAGAATAACTTGAAGTGGTTTACTTAACATGCACAGTTATTTCAGAATTTGTTGAAAGATTTAAAAACAGACTTCTGAAAAAGCTATATCACATACCTGTACATTTAAAAAATGAGCACTCATTCTCCAAAGGAACCAGCTGTAATGGGTCCCTGCTTCCAGTGCAGAGTTGTGTGAGTTACTGACTTACACATACATACCAGGTGGTAAGTTCCTTCCTTGCTGCATTGGAGGAGCAGCATCTCTATTTTCATTGATAAAATCTTAGCCTTAGTCATAATTCTTCTCTGTTAGTTTTAGTAAAAGTCACTGACAGATCACGGGCACTAAACAAAAATTCAGAGCCCATGACCTGTCCATGACTTTTACTAAAAATAATGGGCAGGGGGAGTGACTGACAGGCCAAGCCCCCGCTCCAGAGCTGGCCATGGCTGTGGGACAGGGGACCAGCCCCTGCCAAGCCTGGGACTGGGGCTGCAGTGTCCTGGTTCCAGCCAGCCCCCCCCCATCCTGAAGCCCTAGAAGTCAAGGAGGTCCAGTGAAGTTGCATAACCCATGACTAGCCTTAATTATGACATTTTCAGTAAGTAAATTTCTCTTCTAGCTGATACTAAACAAACACTTAAATTTGTTACATATTTGCCTTGATCATCTCTCAATTTTCTCTTTCCCCTAAATGAGTTGTTTTAAAACTGACCTGACAACTTATTTGCTTCTAACTATTTCAGACAATTCAGTGCCTGCTACACAAATAGGAAACTTGCAAAACACGTACTGTGGAGTGTAAACTGCCACAGGATTTGGGGCTGAGTTGTGGCAGTCAGATACAGCCTACAATAGGGGTACACTATAGGGGTACAAAACTCAAGCAGGAAATCTTAAGAGCTTTATACCTTAGGCACAATGCCTCTAGGAGCCCTATAGGCATATGGCTAGTGTTCTGCCCTTGCACAAATACTTATCAGGGATGGCTTTACGGGGGATGATCCTGACCCTTTCTGGTGCCTGTTCACAATCCCTCTGGAAACTCTAGCCTCTGTGGTTGCTGGTTACCCTTAAGTTAAGCACCTTCCGCCATCCGCTCACACACCAATAAAAGAGGCCAGACAATTAAGCCACATTAGTTTAGGGGCTGCTGTTCATTTAATACACAAACCAGCAAATTTAAAAAGCCATTGCCACACTATTCACAGCATTGACTTGAAATCAACACTTCCTGCCTTAAATGCATAAAACAAAATTTCCTACATCCCCTCACGCTTAGCAGTGCATGTAAAGTATATTCAAGGCACTAGAATAACATGCTTTTTCAGCCACAAAACACTTAACTTGGAAAGCTTCCATAGTATGAACTGTCTTCCTTGTTTTATACTCTAGGATAATTCCTTCCCCCTTTTCAGTTTTAATTGTTTTGGTATTTACAACTTTACCAGTGTTGCTAAAATTAGTGCTTAGTCTTATGGTAGCTTCAGATGGAAGCTCAGAAACTACGGCTTTCAGGTCGATGATTGATTCCTGTCCAAAATTGAGAACCATTATAAAGACTGTGTCTAATCCATCTAATTCCCTCAGATACACAAAAACATTGCTGTCATTCCAAATGTAGCACATCCATCCCCTATGAATGGGCAGCTCATTGTTGCGAAGTAAATTTAGCTCTCGATACAGATTCAGTGTTGAGTTGGGCTGAGTCTTTTGAACCTGTTTTAAAAAAAAAAAAAAAGTCACATCGTTTGTAGTACAGAAGTGCTTACCACCTCTAAGATTATCTTCACAGCTTTCTGACTCTCAGCCCCCTCTGCAGATCCTTCCACAGATTCAAGTTGAAGCTATTTGTCCTCAACCTTTGGGGACCTTCACAACTCTGCCTTCTCTCTCCCCATATTGTCCACCTTTGCCACTCCACCAACGACAATAGTTGTAGAAGGAGGAGACAAGGCTGTCTCTGCTCCTTCCATTGTGCTTCATACACTCTTGTCAGCAAAGCATTCCATACCAAGGAATCAGACATTCAGCATCAAGGACTTGATCTTGCTCCCACTGACTTCAGTGCTGCAGAAGTAACCCCCAATGGATTAGTTTCCAGTGCTTTTTCCTTGCTGTTGTTCACTGTGATAGATCAACACTACCTGTACTTGACCTACTTGGTGTAACAGTGACTGCTAAGTTTGTCTTAGACAAAACAACATATCCAAAGCTAGAAATGCATCCATCTTATTTTCCTGCTAAATTTAACAAAGCCTACTTGTATTAATCTAAATTAAAATGGGGGTGGGTAGATTGCAGATTAATGTTGAAAAATGAAATGAATTAGACTAAAAAAAGTTACCACTGTATTCTTCTGGTTAAATGAGGGCTGGCAAAATAGCCTTTGCTGTTGCAATAAGATATTTTTTTTTACCAATTTTCTTCCACAGAATTTTTTCTTGGTTTTAGTTTTAACTGCCACATTCCACTAATCAAAACAAATTAGAGCTTCATTTAGCTGAAGCTATTTCACTAGCATTTTTTTTTTAACCCATATGACTGTGTCCTTAATTTAAATACTTACTTCGACATTTACATTTTGGTAGTCTGGATTAACAGGTAACCAGCTTGTGTTACCCTCACTGAAGCCGGCATGAAGGTTGCCATTCCACTGCATGGGTGACTTCTCTGGAAAGGTCACCTAAAAATAAGAGAGTATTGGGCACCATTCAACAACATCCTTGTTAATGTGCTAAAGAATGATCCAGTTAAACAATCTTTTGCTCAAACTTCTCTCTCATGTCATTATTTCATCTCATAGGGGACTTTAATTGGGTCCTAGACTTGAAGCTTGACAGGAAGTAATTAAAAATCCCACAAGTGCAGGAGGATCATGAAGAGAGAGAATCAAAAGCTATCACTGAAAGGGGGAGGAAAAACTATGTAATGGATTTGGCACTGGACTGGGTGCTGAAGACCTGTGTTCAATTCCCAGGTCAGATGCCAATTTTCTGTATGACTTCTGGTTACTTATCTACTCTGTGCTTCAGTTCCCCATCTGTGAAATGGGGATAGTACTTGCTTACCCCCACCCAGAAGTAGTGTGAGGACAAAAAGCTATTAATGATTATTAGGTGGTCAGATTTTACAGTAATGAGGGCCATGTAAATTCTTCGATAGATACAAATACAGTTAGTGGATGTATGGAGTGATCTGATCCTGGAAAGAGATACTGTACTAATATTTGAATAATCAAAGTTTGTTAAATTTGAAGACTAAGTACCTTATTCAGTAGCATATCAGTGTTTAACTGTTCTACTGTGTATTATATTTTATAATTATCTGAGCAAATGTAATCTGTCCTGAGGAGTGCTTTGTAAATATATTACAGTTTTCAATATATGAGTCCTTTTGTAGAATTCCCTCCTCAAGTGCAAGTAATACTCTTAGAACTCATGGTCTGTAACAGGTAAATGAAAAACATGTCAAAACTTGCTTGCAAAACATAAAATTATCTAAAATTTTGGAAAGTGTGACATTTGTGCTTATGTTGCAAAACAAATTATTACAGCTGATCAAGAAAATGGAAGTTTTCACAAAGCTAGCTTTTCAAGTTTTGTTTTGATGAGTTCAAAAAAGACTTTTTCAAAAACATTTCCTGAATATTTTTCAATATTTTTTTCAAAAATTTTGACTGATTGATTACCTTCTCTAAATTATCAGAAGCTCTAGCAATGATTTGCAATGATTTGATATCATGTTTTTAAAATTTAAAAAAGTTTATTTCACACACACATTTCAGCAATTTCACAAAAAAAGGGGGGTGGGCGGGCATGTAAAAAAGGCCTCAGTGAAAAGCTGTTAGGAAAATTTTGACCAGCTGTACCACTTTCCTTCCTATGGCAATATAGATATTAGGTGTCTCCTGCTCACATGATCTGACAGGCAGGATAACCATCAATCCAAGATGTCTGTACCCTGTAATGCTCCCTCACCTTACTCACTTTATCTCCTGGGGCTTCAGTTGTTACTCCTACAGGAATTCTGTGCCACACAATTTTTTTCCCCTGCAGGGAAAAAAATTACTTCTGGTGGAAAGTAACTGCAGTTCTACCTTTTGCCAACAAGGGGCCACTGTGGCACTAGAACAGAGCAGCCAATCCCCGGCCAGCCCCAGCAACCAAAGAGAAGAGAAAGATCCTGCCTTCTTCACAGCACTGTTTGGGCCACGTCAGGAGACAGTAAATATGGAGAGAGAAAGACAGGGGTTCATAAGGGCTAGTGTGGGAGGACAGACTGGGGCAGGGACTGATGGGAGTGGAGGTGCAGGGCCACTTGGGGGAAGGGGGTTGGCTGAGTGGGGGCACAGAGACATGGGGGGGGCTAGCTGAGGGGGGTGCAGGGACACATGGGGCCAAGGGCAGATGTGCCTGACTGAATGGGAGAAGTTAAGGGTAAGCCAGGGTCTGCATGGGGGAGGCTCTCTAACAATCCTTCTCTGCCCCCCCCTCCCCAACCCCTGTTCCATACTTTTCCCACCCATACCCAGCAACCCTCCAAGTTCACACCCAGACTCTATCCTAGCAATTACTTCCCTCAACTCCTCTGGTACCCTTGACTCCCCGAAGCGTTTACACTGCTTCTGAGGGATGCTGGAAATATGGTTCTGTATTGTCTTTTAAATGACTTATTACTTAGAGTTCTGTATTAGTATGCCTAGTGAGGAATCTATTCATCAAAAAAAATTCCTGAATCTTATTTGTCTATTGTTACAAAAGACATACTTGCTGACAGGTACTTTGAAATAAATTACCAAAATAATTGAAAGTGGGGTGATTATATTATTTTGTTTTGATAAATAAATTTGCAGATTTTTAAAATAGTGTCCAGAATTTTTAATTTTTTGGTGCAGAATTCCTCCAGGAGTAAATTTTCATGGCTGCAGAAGTGTACTTCAGAAATGACTACTCCTTTCTCAGAGACCCTGCTCATGAGTCCTGTCTCTGAGGATTAAAGGAAATCTTTCCTTCCCTTCTGTGTCCCAGGGCTCAGAACAGGATGCCGATTGACACCCCAGAGAGAGAGGGGGCTGTGCCAAAGGGTGACACCTTTCTAAGCAGCAGCTTTGTGTTTGCAGCAGACAAGGTCTGGGATCTGTAGTAATAAGCCCTTGAGAAGCTTTGTCAGCATATTTCTGGAAGGAAAGGCAAAGTTTTCCTGAAAAGATTTAACTGCTAGAAGTACTCATTAATCCACTGGACAGGGTCAGGGGAAAAGGTTGGTTTGTCACTGAAACTCCTTGCCTCAACACAGAACTCTTCAGTATCCAAGGCAGACTGCTTTGGTGCCTAGATGTGTATTATCACTATTAGCGACAAGAATGCAATGTGTATTCTATTCTACTACACCCTTTAACATCATATACTTCCTTCAGCCCTGCTGGGGATGGAGGCAGTGGAGCCTACTTTGGGAAGGATAGCCCTACTGTTGTTGTTATCCACATGAGTCCTTGTGCTCAGGTCGTCTAGGGCTGGATAACAACTAGCTCTGTGCAGGGGCATGAGAAGATGAAGCTACTCTGGTTCTCCCACACGCTTAATCACTCAGTCAAGGCTAGTCCCACTCAAACCCACTATGGGAGAGAACTAAGAAACCAATAAAGGAGGAACATCTGCCATTCAGAGTGCTCCCACTCAATGCTGACTTTTCATGGAGATGATGATAAATGAGAATAATCAAGTGGTTGCTCCCCTTTCACTGGGGAAAGTAATTTTAGAAACGACAGCAGTTGGGGATGGAATGAGAAATATATGTGCTTAATTAAACAAAAGTTAGTGTTTTGTTGGAAAATTCTGTGTACTTAGACCTAATAGTGCTCCTTAGGGGATTTGAATTTATAAGTCCTTCACTTACATTTTCAGATGCAATATTTTCCATTCCTATTTCTTCACCATAGTAAGTTGTAGATGTCCCAGGAAGAGTTAAAAGGAGCATATTTATGACATTAGTGTATTCTTTTCCAATCCGAGATGCAATTCGAGAAGTGCTAGGGTCTCCAACCTAAACAAAAATATCATCAAAATAAAAGAATAAAGGCCCATACTAGGACTAAATACTTCCATATGACATTGGTCTAATACAAGTTCTGTTCATTTACATCAATGTAAACATGGAGTAACTTCATTTAAACTAGTGGAATTGTTCTGCATTTATAAAGGTGTAAGTGAGGATCATCTGGCTCTATGTTTCCTTGTGAAGTGATGTATGTTAAAAGCACTGGGTAGCTAGTAGTCCCAGAGGAAAAGTTTCACATATATTTCTATTGTATTGTCCAAGCACGTACATGCTTTATGATAAGAGTGCTCAGTAGCATAACTGTTTTACTATTGCTTCTCCCCCACCCCCAAAAGAAGAGATGTTGCAGTATAACGGTAGCAAATCTATTCCATTATCACTGAATGCAGAGGGAGATCTTATCATATTAAGTAAAAGAGGTAGGTTTTTTTAACTATAAACCTCAGGGTGCAGATATATTAAGGCATCCTTTGATCATCATATCCATTTTGTATTATCTTTTTTCTTATATTTTCAAAGGTTTTCTACATTAAATCCTATGATGCAAACTATTATGTTTATTGGGCTTCTTTCTTTCACTTCCATATCCTCAAGGGAAAATATTTGAGTATTTTTGTATCAGTACAATTTTCTGCCTGACAACTGAAATCTGGAAATACTGCCAACAGCATGACAGACAGAAGTAAACAATGCAGATATATTAGCATCCCAGCCAACTGTGTCTTCCATTCTAACACAAATACCCTCCGTTACACTTCTCATGTCTTTCTGCCAACGTTTGCTTTGCTGACCACACTTATTCTTTCTGCTGCGTAGTGCTGGTTTTGTCAGGGTAGCATTCATCGCTTATAATAGGAGCAATGGAAGCTTCTCAGCACTTTGGGACTAGGGTGATCCCACTGCACTGGAGGTAGGCGTACAAGGAGCCGGCACACTTGGGCAGCTTGGCTTGCACAGCCCAACATGGGGGGAAAGAGAGGCAGGGGTATAACCACTTTATGCACAGTTAAGTAGAGTCAGAGGCCACAATCCCCTATGTAGAAGGTGCATAGGGGCAGAGCCTCTATTTCAGTCCCAGAGCTAAAGCAGCAGACATGGACGTGGTATGGAGCTGTTTCCAACTTGCCTGAAGGTTTGGAGGTGGATTCTGTCACCTTTCCCAAACCCCACATCATTCCTGTCACAAACCCTGTTTGGCCAGGGAAAGGGGAGTGGAATATTATCTTGAAAGAATAAAACTGTGTGCCTGATGATTATGTTTAAAACTAGGCAAAAATGCTTATCACACTCCTGTAAATATGCTTGGGATGGACAACATGGACCCGCTACAGCCATTGCTGTTGCGTACTGAGAGAACATGGTAGATTCCACAGATACACAGCTACAGTTATTTTGGGCTTGATCTTACTCCAATGAGAGCTTTGCTGTGGGCTGTAATAGGAGCAGGAATAGGCCATTTAAATGTCTGAACTCTTACCGCCCAGTTGGGCCATTTTCCTTTGGGCATGTTCTTCATCCACAAAGATACAGTTTCAAAAATACTATTTCCTGAGAGGTTTTCCATGTTAATTAGGTAGAAGTTGAAGGGGAAATCTGATTCTTGGACAAAAGATGTTCCATAATACATCATTGTTGCTTCAATGTTTTCCTGCTGATTGGCTTCAGTTCCCATAAACCTACAAAGGAGCACACAAGTGGGTTCTTTTAAAAAGGAAAATTGAAATTGTGTCCATGCAGAGGTTTATCAGAATTACATGAAATTAGATTGGACCTTGACATATCTAATAATTCAGTATTGTCTTTGAAAAGAATTTGCTTTTCTTTCTATATATTACATACCTATATGTCACTATTAATGGCGGGTATTCCTACAAAAGCATTTTACCATGACAAACCAGTTTATCAACCAGTGAGACTGTGCCTTTAGCATTAGAGGGAAAATTCAATACTGCTATGCTAACAAACTGAGTTACCTGTATCGGCCAGGCTCAGTGCTGAATTTATCCATGGTGTGCCGGAAACTGCGGATGATATCATGCATGCCGACTTGGGTGGTGGTGTAGTCATGATACAGCTCAGAATATGCTGAAATACTCTCCTTGAAGGATAACGTAACACTTTGCATTAGCCCTCCTAATGTTCATTGAATTACATTTTCCAAAGTTTATCAAAAGACAGTACACCACTTCAGATAATGCTTTACCTGAGTCTGTTAGCAAACTAGGGGCATGATAATATTACCTACTCTTTTCTCCTGTTCACCTGAGACTGTGGTGCTGCAAAAAACATACAAGGTAGCCCACGCTCCTGGCATTTCCTTTCCCATGCCCTGAAGCTGACTTGACTGCAAAGGGGAGAGGGATTGCACCACTCACTGCCCCAAGCCCCTACTCCCTAGAAACAGACTTTGATAAATGAGGCACTGATTCTGCCACCTTTACTCCTGTTT